CCTGAAAGAGCACAAGGCTAGGGTGATAAGCTGAAGGAATTCGTCAAATCTCTGTGAGAGATTAGGTTATCTGTAAACCGGAGAAATCGGGATGACATTTACAAGGACTCAGGAATCTATGCATAGTAAAAGAGGTCATGAGATGATCTGTCGTTAGAGTCAGTAAATTGAAGATTCCCTATTTCGAATAAAGCTTACCCTAAACCGCAAGGGTTGATATGTTTCCTTACCCTAGGTTTAATGGGAAGGTAACCGAGACGAAAGGAAATACATACGGCAACCAAATATGTGTAATAGGATGATTATGTCATTAACCTAACTAGGTCTGGGGCAACAAAACATTGCTAGTGCTCTATGTTGTCATTAGATGGGTTGTGGGCTTGTTGGGCCCAAGCTCATTTATGTCAGTGGCTATGTTGGGCCTAATGGGTCACACACTAACACCTTATTGTCATGATAATATAGCATTAAAGGTATTGGGCCTAATAATGGTTGTTAGCCCAAGAAGAAGTTTGGAAGCCCACCAAAAGGGAAAAGGGCGCATGGATCATGTAATAGGCTTGGATGGTCCAAGACATTACTAATTAATTTAATTAGTTAAATTAATTATCAAATATTTAAATTTTGAATTTTGAATTTGAAATTTGAATTTTGAAATTTGAATTTTGAAATTCGAATTTTGAATTTGGATTTTGAATTTTGAATTTTGAATTTTGAATTTAAATTTTGAATTTGCATTTTGAATTTAAATGTTTGAACGTTTGAATTTAAATGTTTGAAAGTTTGAATTTAAATGTTTGAATTTGAATTTGAATTGGCTATGAAAAGTTGTTTCATAACAAAAGGATAAGGTAAGATCTTGTTGGAACAAATCCCAAGTATCAAAAGGAGATCTTTGAGCATCATCCAAGGCTGATTTGGGGCGCTGATTTTGGGGTCTTGTGATGGTCATAAGATCAACCAAATGAGCTCTAATCAGATTTGGTTTGTTGAGAGAATAAGTGAGTGAGTTGGTTCAAGTTTGAATGCAACTGCTCAACGTATCTGGACTGTTTTAAGGCTGAATGGAGTGCACCATATGGCTGACCATATGATGGTTGTTAAGTCGGATTTTTGTTGAGATATGCACTTGATATCATGAGGATATGATAGGAGGTTGTTGGCAAGATTTGATTTGCAACAACTCCACTCATTCCTCTCCTAGTGTGCGCTGCATAGGGCTGATTTTTGAGTGAAGAAATCAGATTTTTATTCACTCATTCTCTCATCTCCTTTGGTCATCCTTTTGTGAGGTTTTTCTTAAGAGAGTTTTGAAAATTACCTAGCATTTTCTAAGCGAATTCCATGCGCCACTTTTGTGTTTTTTCTTGCTGAAAATTCACTCAACTAAACACCTTGAAACCTTGCCTCCTACCTTTCCATTAGGGACGCTTAGCTTGCCTCCCTTGGTGTTCGTTGGTGGCCTTGAAGAAGAGTTCTTCCGTCTTGACAAAGGGTAGTGTGGATCAACATTAGAGGGCTTGTATCTTCAAGCCTCACCTTGATCATCTTCAAGTTTTGAAAAGCAAACAAGGTAACATCCATGTCCTAAAGCATGTTTCTTGATATGGTATGTGTAATTCCGCTTTGAAAATTGTTTTCATCCTCACATGCCTACGGCCTTCAAGGCAATTTTCTTTCATTTTCCACTTCCACTGCAGTACTTCAAGAGGTTGAAGCTTATCAACGGCTTCTGGTGTTCAATCTTCACCTTCAGGCATCACAACAAATGGACACACAACAACAGTGTCCTTCCTCAATCCAAGACACACCGTCCTGGTTCTTCTCCATAAGCTAATTCTCAACTCTCACAGTCTCAATCTCGAGAAGTGCATCCTCAAACTAGGAAGTCACCTTCAAATCTTGAAACTTTGCGATGACATCAAAACGTCGATCGATTCGCTGGGATCACTAGTCACTCCTTCAACAGAGGTGACCTAACCCCACAAACTCTAATCCACACACAACTCGAGTGAGTTTGGTCCTATTCCATGACTCTAACCTCGACCAGACTTACAATTTATAATCAATATCCTCAATTAAATTCATATTCATTTCAGAGTACTAAATCATAATCATGTTCATTTCAACCAATATATGTTAGTTAACATACTCCTTCACATAGTAACGTACCTTAGTCACGTACACCTGCAAAATTTTCAATTTCAATAACATAATAACTAAAAAAAGACTCTATGTAACGGTATACCTCAATCTCCATGGTATCTGCAAAATCGAGAGTCAGTCAAAGGTGAAATAACATTGATATATTACCAAAGTTCATCGTACTTATTTCATGCTTAACATTATCCCCAGTGTTAACATGCCGACTACACATGACACATATCAATAATCAACATAAAATCCTAGAGTCATGGAGACCACTCAACTCACAAACTACTTGTACATGCACTGCCTCGCATATACAAGGTCACACGTGGCCTTGCCACAAATTTCAAATGTTCCACACTCAGTTTCCATAAAGAGAAGTTCACATTCTCAAACAGAGCATCATCACGGTTAAGTAATGGCGTAAGGCATCTTGCCTCAAAACAAAATGACTGATGCTTCCCACAGAGACACGCTCGGTCGGATGAAGCCTTTCGCCGAAAGACTCCCAACAAAATTCTTCAGCTGAGCCAATTCTAGCGGAACATCCGGTATGGAGCTAATGCAATAGGCCCCACACCAGGCAACAATTCAATGGAGAACGCTATCTCCCGTTGCGGCGGACACTCAGGAACACCTCGAGGAACTCCTTCGCCACAGGAATGTCAGTAAGATCCTCCTGTGTCCACTCACCAAATCCCCCAAAATGACATAACCAATGTCCCTGCTCACAAGGCTCTCCTAGCCTGCAGCAATAAAATAAAAGGCAAGGAACTGGCTATGGAATCACACGGAGACATCACCACTCGCTAGGCACATCAATCAATCAGTCATCTCACAACTATCAGACAATTCATCCATGCCAAGGATGATTTCCGAATAAGCCATCGGCAATCCAATCAAATCTACCGAGTAATCACGGCCCTCCCACTGAAACACGACATCTCGATGTACAGTGGTAGTATCACATTTTTCTCCGGTGGCGGTGGTCAACCGCGACGGTGGAGAAAGCACAAACATGGACAACTCAAGCCCCACAACAATCGGGGTTACAATAAAGGATGTGTATCCCCAGAATCAAACAAAACATCAATAGCAATTCCCCAATGGAAACAGTACCTCTGGCAAGGTTCGGAGCTCGGTCCGACTGCTGCCGATCCCCAGTGTAAACTCGCCCCGTGGCAGGTGACATAACAGGTGCCGCTGTAGACACCATAGAAATCATCTGTAACGGAACTTCCCGAATCGTTGCAGCTCCCGCCGTTGACGACAGACAATCTCTGGAGTAGTGGCCCTCCTGGCCACACCGAAAGCATATCAACTGACCGGTAGCACAACATCTGGCATGCTTCTTTCCGCACCCCGAACATCTAGGAGTGGAAAAAGGTCTAGCAAAACCTCCCTGCTGCGAAGAAGTCCTCGTGAACTGACTAGGCGCCTGCCTAGCAGCCAACTGCTTTCCTTTGCCTTTTCCAGCAAACTTCCTGTCTTTCCAGGAAGTGGAACCACCAGTTCCCTTGACCTCAGCAACCTTGGCCCTCTTGGCCTTGCTCACAATACAGACATCCTCGATGTCCCGACACTGCTGAACCAGTGCACCAAAATCTCTCGATGCAGAACCAGCAAGGCGATCAGCAATATCCTCATTAAGTCCCCTGCGGAACTTAGCAGCTAAAAACATCGGAGTAGGCATGGCGAAACGGAAATGCGCAAACTTAGCCAGTTCATTAAACCTAGTCGAATACTCGTCCACCGACAACGAGCCTTGCACCAAATGGTCAAACTCTCCTTGTTTCCGCTCCTGCGCATCGTAAGGAAAATATCTCCCAAGGAAGCAATCGTCAAAGAATGGCCATGTCATCACATGTCCCTGCATCTCGTAGACGTGAGATGTGTTCGTCCACCACTCATGGGCATCGCCCTCCAGCATATACGTCGCGAACATCAACTTCTGTGGGTCGGTACACTGCATGACCCGAAAGATCTTCTCCAGCACCTGCAGCCATCTCGCAGCAGCAATGAGATCATAAGATCCACCAAAAGAAGGTGGCTTATGCTTACGGAAAGCATTCAGCCGGCGATCAATCACATCACGATCCTCAACAAGCCCCAAGCGGGGTTCCATCACCCCAATAAGAGGACCAGTGCCCTCAACATGACTCAGGCTCTCGTCCTGAAGGCTAGGTGGAGGTCAAGGTGGAGGTGGTGGCGGTGGAGGTAGTGACGGAGGGAACTGACCAACAGCAGGACCAGCCCTCATCTCCTCCAACATGACTCTCATCATAGTCATGTTCACCAGGCGATATGCCTCCAATACATCCTTAGTGGCTTTCTTGTTCGCCTCTCATACGGCGTCCAGCATAGCCTGGTTTTCCGTTCTCATGGCCTCCTGGTCGACTTGTCGGGCCGCCTGCATTTCAGCCAATGCAGCCAGGACAGAATCAGGTTGATCCTCGCTAGTGCCTCGGTTCCTCTCAGGTAGTACCATGACTCTGCACAAGTTACACACAGAATGAGTTGATCAGACCCACGCAATGTGGTCACATATGCATCATCATAGCAAAACCCAATAGAGAGAACACACAGACACGACTCACAACAAAACATCCTAAGTTATTGCAACACATACAGGCTTTTCCCTAGAAAGTGCTCTGATACCATAAAAGGTAACACCCCGTATGCATCCGGTTTGTTAACATGTCATCGTATTAAGCCACGCTTAATTAAAAATGCGAAATATCTTTTTTGTTCAATTATGACGTCATTATTCTTTGCCAAGATGATTACTTAATCAATTTTCATAAAACATCGCCTGTATGATATTGCAAGAGACAACTAATTGAAATACCTCATAATATAAGTAACAGTGAGTATCTAAAATCACGGAACTACAACACGTAGTCCGGACATAATCCTGATACATTATTACAACACGAATCTAAAACAAGACACAGTCAAAAATAATGTGGCATGGACAATCCTGCTCACCAAATAAGACAACACAACCCAACAACAGTTTCATCAACAGCCACATAATAAATAAGCTAACAACAAAAGTTGTTAGCAACAGACATGTCCAGCATCCAAGCATAATCATCACATCATCATATAAATCAGCTAAGCTCCGGCCTCCTGCCGCTAGAGGTCTCAACCCCTGCATTACTTGAACCTGAAATGGTGCCCAAAACGTGGGGTGAGATCTCTAAAAAAAAATCTCAGTAAGATAAGGGGTCCTTAAGGATCTTCCACCCCAAGCTCACTTACAGGTGCAATATAAGTTCAAAAGCCATTTAACAATATAAGTTCCAAAATAGTGCAATGCAACAGATAATCATGTCATGTGTGTTTATACTATTCTACTGATCAGAGAAGTGCAGGAATACGTCTATTACCCACACAGTATCAGCCCATGTTGTATTCGCCCACAGGATCGCCTCATGGCCTCCTGTGTAGGCGTCACACCACATACATATCATAAAGCATTTGCACTTATAGTTCCATAGCATTTCAATAAAACAGTATATGAAAACACATCATGCATATAAACCATCCCCCCATGGGACATGGTGGAACAAACAATGGCTAAACCGAGGACACGAAAGCTTACCTTTTAAGCAATACGTCCAACCCAAGAGCTCACACTAGCTCAAGCCCACAATCAGCACAATCACAATCTGTTTATACAGTAATTAATCATCAATAACTATTACTCAAGGTTACATTAAGTGATTAAGGCTTTTCATCTCATTTAAAGTCATTTCATGTTGTTTCTGCAGTAGGTATTCGAATACTCCTCGATGAGTATTCGAATACTCCAGCTCTCCAGAAATTATTCGATTACTTTCATTTAAGTATTCGCATACTACCAAGTATTCGAATATTTTCCCCCCCCAGTATCTGATTACCACAGTATCCGAATACCAAACCTCATTGTATTCGAATACTTTCCAGTATTCGAATACTTCATCAAAGGTATCCGAATATTTTTCTTCCCAGAAAAGTATTCCAATACTCCTGCAATGAGTATTCGACTACCAGTTTAAAAAATACGGTTGCAACTCTATACCAAATACTCTAAGATTTTAATATGTTAAACTAGACATCTCAAGCTTTCCAACGATATATTTTATGTCTCAATCGGAGTTTTATAACTCCGGTTATGATTTTTGCAAAGTTCCTACAAGCAGCTGAATTTTCAGTAATAGGGTCGCGACTTCAAAAATAAACTGAGAGCACTCCACTTATCCAATGGATCTAAAAATTTACAGGGTTGTAGCTCTATGTGTTAGCTTCACATAGGTCTAAACCTCACTTAATTTATAGCTCTGTAGCTCGAGATATCGCAATTTTACTAAACTAGGTTGCTGTTGTCTCGCGAAGTATTCGAAAACTGCATTTTTCCAGTAAGTATTCGAATACTGCCCGAAAAATATTTGAATACTTCTTCGACAGAATGCAGAAAACTGAGTTTTAAAGGTATAATTGACCTCCAATGATCTACACTCGATCTGGAGTCCAAGAACTCCAAAAACAGATGTTCATATGCATGTTAGGGACTCAGAAACACATTCCTTTTATCAAATGATCAAAGTTTTACTTTTTAACTGATTAAACAAGCTTAAAATCATTAAAAGACAAAGAGGTGATCAAGGTATACCTCTAAGCATCAAAAATCCAAAAATGATACAGCAAAGAGGTCTCCAACCACACACCAAGGTTCTGACTTCAAAGACCCACGAAAATGCACTACAAGGTTGGACCTTTACACTCAAAGGTGGCTCCTTGAAGTTCAAAAATGACCAACAAAGGCTTTCTCACCCCAAACCAAGGAACTCAGCCCTCAACTCACACCAAAGTTGAACCTGCAACCCAAAAAAGGAGCACCTTTCACTCACACAAGTCTTGCTCTCACTCCCCTACACCACATTGATGAAGGAACTAAGAGTAAAGGTGGTCATTTTGGTGGAGTTTAAGAAGAAGAAGGCTATGGAAGGGTAGATGGAGGGTGGCAGCAGATGAAGACCACAAAACTCACGTAGAGGCAACCAAATTAACCTAGGTCTTTGTGCCACAACGCTATTTATAGGCACTTAAGTTTTAAACACACAGTTTTAACGAAAAATAGCTACGCTTATCGTTTTAATCTCAAACTTGAGATTCTGAACCTACTCATTTTTCTAGGATTTTTCATATTTTTATTTTATTTTTCGCAGCACCTTTCCGGTACGCTCTTTTCTATAGCCAGTATCAGTTATGGCACCTGTTCTCATTATTTTGACCTGAAACTTGTTTTGCTAGTCTTATATAATATTCTAGGAATATTCATGCACTTATTATAATTTTTCGGGATACTTCATCGGTACGCATTTATACTGGGGTAGCAGAACCGGTATCTACACTTTTCGTCATAAAAGCGACTTTCAGCATTATTACTCACAATAATTATTAAAGCCTCAAAATAATTATTAGGGTCATTTATGGAATTATTTCTTCATTTCTCTTAATTAATTTATTTATTTCCTTAATTAACGGTGCGGGTTCTTACACCTTCCAAACAAATCGACGCCGTCTCCAACTGTTCCTCCAGCGGAATTCGATTGACCCGGAAGTACCGTTCTGCTCTAAAGATCCAACCGTATGGATCTTCGCCTGAGAAGTATGGGACCTTTACTCTTTTCATCCTTTCCTCGCTTCTCACCGTTCGTGGACTGGTTTCAGGGTTTCCTCCTTGGCTTCCTGTTCCATCACTATTTGTTCCTCTGTTTCGCCCAGCTCGGGCGATATCCTAAAGTGTTCTCATCACTTCAGCAAGATTTGTCTCAATCCGACGAATTCCCTCTTCTGTTCTTCCCACCCTAGCCTTCAAAGTTTCCATTCGGTGATCCATGTTTCTCGTTAACACCATTCACGATTTTGTTTCCGAGAAAAGTGCTTTGATACCAATTGTTGGTACCAGAATCCTTACTCAGAACATTAAACAAGGAAATAATAAAGACGAAGATGAATAACAACAATTTTATTATTAGCAAACTGAGTCATACACCATCGTGACTACAACTCAGAATTATAATAGTAGAGTAGCAAATTCAGTAACTACTATGGACTACTCCCTTCAATGGACTGGCCGATTGAAAAGGATAATACCACTCAAACCTATCCCTTACAGCAACTGAGGCATTTACCTTTCCAGTGCTCTACCCAACTCTTACACAAGAATCTTCACACCCCCACACCTCTACCCGTAACCAACTTATATTTCTCCCTCCTCCTCTCCCTTTTCTCCAATATCTTCCTCTCCATTCATCGCATGCCATGTGTCCCCTTCAGCAACTAACTGAGGTTTGTCCTTACCTCTTCCTTTATGGGTCTTCCGAGTGTACACTTGGGCATAAGGCTTGAGAGGCCCATCAGACATTAAAGGGTATAGCCGCATAGGATTTTTCTTGCTTAGCAAAGATTCATTAAAATGGCGGTTGTTGTTCAAGAAATAGACAGAGACTACTAGTCCATTGTTCATAATTAGCATGAGACAATATGAAAAACGCCCATTACTTTGGGATTGTAATTTTGATACATGACAACGAGTTCCCCAACCCAAAACAAGAACCCCAGCTTTCTTGTTTCCCGGTAGATGTTTCCTACTTCACATTATCAATCCACACCCTAAGACTAGAGTAGTATTTTCTTCACCTTTGGGATTTGAATCGAGAAATAATTATTTTAATGCAATAATACCTTCTTTTTTTGGGTATATGGAAAGGGCTATGCCCAAAGTAAAATATAAAATCAAAAAGGGCTTAACAAAAAGTCATAGGATGAGAAACAGAATTGGCATCCACTTGAAGAAACGGTCAATGTTTGAAAGGAGGGTCCTGAAAGTGACAGTACTCGTCCATGTCCAACCGGTTTAAAAGGAGATTTGTCAACCAATCAGCACAACAATTGGCTTCCCTAAAAGCATGCATCACTTGAACTTGTCAATCAAGCACCAAACATGCTCATATATGAGCCACGCAAACCAACATATAAGCATCACCAACCTTGGCGAGCAGAGATACAACAGACAAAGAGTTACGCTCCATTGTAACATTTCTCCAACCAGCATTCCAAACGAGCTCAATCCCTTTTAAGATACCCTAATATCTGTCAATAAAGCTAAGCAGATACCAACTTTATACGCAAAACTTCAAGCCATCTCCCACAAGAGTCGTGCCATAAGCCCCTACTAGGGGTGTCAAAACGGGTCGACAAGACACGAATTTGACACAACACGAATACACCAACACGAACACGACACAAATTTTTATTTGTGTCAGAATCTTCAACACAAGCACGACACGAATTTTTTGCTGATTGACACGACACAAATAACACACAGACTAGGGGTCAAAACGATAATTGACAAAAAAAATTAAAAAAAATGGGTCGAAATTAAAATAATAATAAAAGTAAGTAAAAAATACAGGTCGACACGAATTTGACATGCAACACGACATGAATTTTTTGTGAGTCATTTTTCCCAACACGACACGAATTTTTTTGCGGGTCAACCCGAACATGAATTTTTAACCCACATATCATAACTTGTTTTGACACCCCTAGCCCCCACATGCAGAGTTGCTAAGATTATCTCTTGAAGCACCATCTGTATATAGTTTGACCAACCCCTCCTCCAGAGTAGCCTAAGCCACATAACTACAAACATAGATAAGTCCTAAAGACTGATCCAACATCAAGGGAAATCGCAGCACTGATTTCTAGCACTCTGTCGCTAATCCTCCCCACAGAGTGCAATGTCCCAAACAATGAGAGACATGGACGATATCATTCCGCCAACTCCAAAACTGCCAGCAAGTCGTAATGAACATAGAGTAGCACGAAATTCCATTAACAATTGGAGCTTCGCAGTGCAAGTTCCTGCTCACCCAATCCTGCAAATTTGTGTGAAAGAACCAATAATGCTAGCTAGACGAAAGTAGATCCTCCCACACCTATCATACTACGCAACAATCACGGGCAACACATAGTAATGACTTGTTATGATCCTGACAAATAGAGCACAAAGAGTCATTATTATGGGCCCAACGGGCAATCCATTCCTTCGTGGGAATGCTATTATGGGCTACCTTCCATAAGAACAACTTCATATGTTGCGGTCTATTCCACTTCCAAAGTTTGTTCCATAATATTTCATCATAGCCGCTTGTGTCCATGCCACTCCCAACTGAAATAACCTTGTTTAGAACCTTGGCAGTCAGTTCCACACCTCCCTCGAGAAGTCATCCCCTCTTATCTACACCATCGCCGGGATTAGGTGGTAATCTGCTCCAAATTTTTTTAGTAACATCTATTGGCAGCCAGTTCGTCAATAACTGAACCTCCATTTATCGTCCTCCTCAACATAATCCTGTAACTTCCTCTCCTTTTCCCCCTACTAATTAAATGCCGAGACTACATCAATAAGAGGCCCCGAATTTCTAAGCAAGTGGTCATACCAAAAGAAGATGGACTCGTCATTGCCAACCTCCCAAATATTTCGTCATTCATCCTCTGCGAAACAAAACAAGGAGCATCTCATAGTCTAGAACAACCTGTTTTGATGGGAACCTATTCTCTTCTCTCTCTTGACTCTTATATTTACCACGAAGCACTTGTGACAAGAAAGCCTAACCTT